AAACTTGTAATTTTTTGAAAAGAAATACAAAATTGGAGATTATATCAAACTGTTTTTCTTTGTTGTATTGCATGTATGGTTTACATTTCCACGAACAAATTCGTTAGTAACATATACATTAACTGTAAAATCTTCTAAGATTATGTACATTCCAAATATATGGCAATTGGCGCCCCTGTATGTCTGCTAACATATAAGACCCAGGTCGTTTGATTTGAACGACCATATAGGGACCTTTCCAATTAGGAGCGAGTTTGCCCATGTGTGAATAAGTATTGGTTAATCCAGCTTTGCGTAAAACCAGATCGCCAACCTTGAACTGACGAGCTCGTACTCTCTTATTGTAAAATTTTGCAACACGACCCTGGTATGCCATATTCTTTATTCGGGACATCTCCCTAACCTCTTCTACAAGGTCTATGTTCTCTCTTAAGAGTTGCTCATTTTTAAGATCGTCATGGCGATTTGATCTATCAGATGGCAATCCGACCTCAACAGGGATGACGGCCTCAGTTCCATACGCCAGGCTGAATGGGGTTTTGCCTGTAGCCGAGCTGGGTGTAGTGCGACATGACCACAGCACTTTATTGAGCTCGTTTACCCAATTAGAATGCGTAGCTAAAACACGCGTCTTGAGTCCTCGCAAGACGATTTTATTGGCGGACTCGGCTTGCCCATTTGACTGTGGAGTATACACGGATGTCAAAGCGAGCTCAATGCCATAGTCGGTACAGAACGGCCTCAGTGCCACGGCTCAGAACTGCGGACCATTTTCTGCGATGATCCGTTTAAGAATACTGAACCTGTATATAGAGGACCGAGCTGAGCCATAAATTATATTTGTATAAAATATACCAATGGCTTAAGTCATCAAAGAATACCTGCATAATATTGAATTGAACAAGAATTCTTCTATTTTCTTTTCTGTTGTTGTGGACAGGGGTTTAGTTTCTATCCATTTGGTGAAGTAATCCACCACAACAACGAAGTGAGTGCAATCTCCTTTGCCTTTCACAAAAGGGCCGAGCAGGTCGACTCCCCATTAAGCAAAAGGCCAGGGAGATGAGAGTGATGAAAGCAGTTCTCTTGTTTCAAGGAAGATACTTATGCTCAGTTTGTAGACAAACATGAGGATTGAACAAACTTTAGAACGAGCTTAGATACTTGGCATGTGAATATCATCAGCATTGAACTGGCAAGTCGGGTACTTTTTGACATAACTCTATGCGTCCTCAACCATAGTAGGCCAGTAGTAACCATGCCTCAGAAGTTTCCGAGCTAAAGTTCTGCCACCTATGTGTGTGCCACATACTCCTTCATGAACTTCCCTCACAGCATATTCAGCTTCATAGGGACTAAGGCAACGTAATAGGGGCATTAAGGCTGCTCGTTTGTAGAGCTAACTGTCCAGCAAAGTGAAATGCCCAGCCTTGCGTTTAATCAACTTCGCAGCTGACGGGTCTTTAGGTAGCTCGCCCATTTGTAGATAATCAATGAGCGGGGTGGTCCAACTTAGAGATGAGGGATCTGTGCTTAACAGCTGACACTCAATTGTGAAATCAGTGTAGCTTGGGGCGTCAAGCACTTCGACAATTGTTGACCTCTGAGGGTTAAGGTCCTGTGAGGAGGCCAACTTTGACAGCTCATCAGCTCGGTGGTTATCTGCTTTTGGTATTTTGTCGATTTGGAAAGAGACAAATCTTGACTTCAATATGTTGACCACCGAAGCATAATGACCAAGCTGGGGATCCTTGATTTCACAGCTGCCATTCACCTGGCCCACCACGAGCCGAGAGTCACTAAAAACCTGAATACTCTATGCCTTCAACTCGGACGCCAACTTCAATCCATAAATGAGGGCTTCATATTTTGCAGCATTGTTAGTTGTCTGAAACTTAAACCTCAGTGCATGCTTGGATTTAAAGCCATCTAGGCCCATTAACACAGCCCCAGCACCCGATCCTTCAATGTTAGCAGCTTCGTCAACATACAAGATCCAGACTGGGTGTTCGGGTGTCTTTTCTTCCATAGTTGCCGAGATGCACTCCATCAGGAAGTCTGCCACAGCCTAGCCCTTTATGGTTGTGCGCGGCTGAAATTTGAGATCATACTCACTCAGCTCGACGCTCCACCTGATAAGCTGACTAGAGAGTTTTGGCTTCTGTAGTATCTTTCTCAACGGCAGATTGGTATAAACAACAATTTGATGTGACTGAAAGTAAGCTCTCAATTTCATAGCGGTGTATACCAGGGCAAAAGCAGCCTTTTCTGCTAGTGGGTAGTTCTGCTCGGCGCCTTGTAAAACCTTGCTCACATAGCAGATAGGCTTTTGATTCTTATTCTCTTCCCTTAGTAGAATTGAGCTCACCGCCTTCTTTGTAACCCTTAGATACAGGTATAAACTCTCCCCCTCCACAGGCTTGGACAGCAGGGGTGCTGATGCTAGATATTGTTTGAGCTCATCAAACGCCTACTAGCATTCGTCTGTCCATTGAAAGTTCTTGGGCTCTCTCAGGGCTTTAAAGAAGGGGAGACATCTTTCTGCAGACCTGGCAATGAACCTATGCAGTGCAGCAACATGACCCGTCAGACGCTGCACATCTTTTATAGTCTTGGGCTGCTCCATCTGTTGAACAGCCTGAACCTTCTCTGGATTTACCTCAATTCCTTTCTTGGATACCACGTACCCTAAGAATTTTCCTGATTCTACAACAAATGTGCATTTCAGGGGATTCAGCTTCATTTGGGCTCGACGCAAGTTATGAAAGGTCTCACTCAGGTCGTCTATATGATCCTCAGCTCGCACGTTGGTGACTATCATGTCATCCACATACACTTCTACGTTTCTGCCGATCTGGAGCTTAAAGATGATTTGCACCAACT